CGTTGCTTCTGTGTGAGTGTTTGCTGCTTATACCTTTCCATTCAAGAATACTTGGTGCTTCCACTGCTTGTATACACACTTTGTATTTCTAATTAATATTATTGGATATTTTAATTTATTTTACTCCATATTTATTTACTGGTTTTCATTAATTATAAATTCTGCCATCAACTATGATATTTCACATCGGTGTGCTGATCGTCCTGTGACGGCTAATTATTATTTAACTAGCTGTGCCCGCGGCGTAGCTCACGTATATAGGTTTTACTTATAGAATTTGATGTTTAGGGTAAGAGAATATTAAACGATTTATATCATTACTGTATGATTAAGTGGTAACAAAATAAATCTATATGCTCAAAGTTCTAAGTCGTTTATGACAGAGCTTCTGTGTAAACGGCGTTAGAAGTAGACTTAGCCGGGGCGTACAGAAAAAGGTTACGGGGACTACTAACGCGGGAAAAAGCAATCAGTACTGAGGTCCACTCCTGCAACGGGTAAAGTTTGACATTGCGCTTTATTTACGATCGTCGCATAACACACGCTGTGTAGGTAAGCTGTAGTTTAAAATAGGGATGTTCGATAATCATCGATGTTAAAAATTAAAACTTCGATGTTTTAACATCGATATTGACACATGTCAAACATCGAAACATCGACGTCAATGAACCCATAATCGATAATTGGGCACTTGCAAACAATGAGAACCTGCGAAATCAATATCAAATAAATCTTGCATCTGCTCTGAAGATTTTGAATAACTCAGAATTCCTGAACGCATTGTTAACCTAAAAAAGATGGTTATGTTGTGTCAAACTTAATTGTCAATTGTCATCTGTAATGTCACAATGGTCACTGCTTTCGCTTTATTTTGTAGTGTCGTTGTCGGTTGTCGCATAGTAACTATTCTACGTAAATTAATATTCAAATTAATTGTTACTTTTTCCTTGCTGTACCCACATAATTTTGAAACAATGTGTAAGTATCTACACATATACAAAAAACATCGATAATGGTCAACATCGATGTTTTGAGTAAGCTATACATCGAACATCGATGTTGGCATTGATAGCTCAACATCGATGTTCATCATCATCAATGTCATCATCGTATGTTCTGCAACATCGATCATCCCTATTTTAAAACATTTTTTACACACGAATCTTTTTATTACTATTTCTGAGATTTTATGGCGCCATTAAACAAATTCGAACCTACATTTCAAAATAATAATCATAACTTTCGATAGAATTAACCAATTTCAATAAAACAAAGATTAAATGAACTCGATAATACGCTTTATAATTTTCTTAAGGATTTCATTGAAAAAAAGATGTTTACTCAAAACGTCATGCGTTCATAAACAAACAGACAGACCGTCAGACAGTACAATTCTGAAAATTATAAAAATGTACTTATTTAATGATTTTCAGTCCCCATAAAGATTTTAGTAACAAATTAATATACTATACAATGTACAGAAACAGACATGTTATCACTATTTTTATTATATGTATAGATTTAAAGAGAGATGGCGCTGTTAACATCAATTCTAAAAATAAGTGATTAATGAGGACCACGGAATATAAAAAACAACTTGTTTTTTATATTCCGTGATGAGGAATAATAATTTTCTGCTCACCAGATGTCGCTAGCTGACAGTACAGAAGTACAGAAGAGATATTAATACACAAAGCAATGCCTCAATGGTTTGCTCTTTAATTTTTTGTACATGTTTAACTTTTTTTTATTTTTTCTACTTTTATGAATATCTGTGGTTTAGTTTATTTATTTTTAAACGTATTAATATAAAATATAGCTAATAGTACAAAAAGAAACAGTAACCTTTACATTTTTCGAACAAATTAACTTCCCCCCTATGAAATCTGTCAAATATTATACCTCACTTATAAGTGGCGCCGCCCTGGTGGCGGAAAAAGTCGTGGATGGCCTCATTGACGCGATTGATACAATAAAAAACATAAAAGAACTTATAAATTAGTGCCTGCATAGTAATCAAAAACGAAAGTTTGATCCTCGCCGAAAAACGAAATTGTTAATAGCTCTTTTAAAATTTGATTTACCACATGGAATACTCGGCAGTAAAAAATAAATGAGATTGTCAACACGCAGTAGGGTAGCGTGTAATATAAACATTAGAAGCAAATATGAAACTCATCTACAGGAAAAAACCTTAACCTGCCTTTTTGTATCACATTTGTGCAACAGCACCATCTATCAATGAAATTGTTTAACTATTGATTTAGATAATAAGGTTAATATATTTTTGTATAATATATTTATTACGTTCTTTATGTAATACTTTTGTTTACTGCGTTTTAGATATAATTATATCATTATAGAACATTATTTTACATCATTTAATTATGATTTATAATATGATATTAATTTTAAAATGTACTTGATGACTCATCCAAAGCCACTATTGAATAAATTCGTACATATACTTAGTACCCATACTTCAGAATATTTGTCAGTTTAGTTGTTTGATGGAATGAACTGATTTTAATGAAATAAAGACTAAATGTAACCCGAAGATACACTTAATAATTTCCTTAGCGATTATTATGATATAAATTAGTACTTTATACATGATACGTTAACAAACAGACAGACAGACAGACAGAAAATTCTAAAAATGGTAGAAATGTATTTGATTACTTATTTTTAGTACCCCTCAATCAGTTTTATTACAAAAATATAAAATGTACAGACGTCTGCTATTTACATTTTTATTATATGTATTGCTATGCTATTTACAATGTATAGCGACTGTGTGGAGTACCTATAAGATTTAATGCTAAACAAACTAATTGCGTAGATATTAATTTGACACCAGAGTAAGTTTTAAAAACTATTGGTAAATCCAATTGTGCATGCCCTAAGCGCATTAAAAAAATTACGTATAACATGATTATATGGAATTTTTTTAAAAGTAGTTTAAATAGACACAAGTTTTCACTAATAACCCTATTATACTTCCAATTTTCCAATAATTTTATGTCAAAGTTCAATTTAAATAAATTTTGGAATATCCAAAAGTGCACGACTCATAATGCTCATATGATCATCATTCAGGTTACTAGATTAAGTCCAAGACGTATTTAAGTGTAAATATATACATCCTACTTACTTTTAGTACGTACTACTATTATTTATTCTGTGCTTTTAAAATATTGTAATAAAAATCTCTGATTATATTATAATAATCGAGCATGTATGAAATTTTGTTTTTCGAATATTTTGTATCTGTACAGTGATCTTTTTGAGCCGCTGCAAACAAACGATACAGTATACACTCACGACGGCGTTTGAAGCTGAAGTTAGTGAGTGAGGCAGTCTATTTAGTAAAGTAAATTAATACAAGGCTACCAAAACACCGAAAATTTCAACATTTCGCAGGCGAAAAAAATTAATTATAACTAAACAAAACAAAACTAAACTGCCATTTACATACCATGGATTTCCACATGATAGATGAAGAGATTAAAAAATAGATTGAGTTAAACCATTGATATTTTCAAAAGTTGCGCCATGCGGACTTGATAAATCCACACCATAAGTCACTACAACCCCTTTTTATGACAAAATAGTAATTAATCGATTTAAAAAAATATTAATAAGTTCAACAATCACTTATCTTTCTGATAATGTGCTTTTTATATCATTTATAGGCATAATATGATTGCTAGATACGATTTCATGCAACAAAACGTTGGAATCTTAATTTTTAGGCCCTAGCAGAACATACCTGCGCGCTTCACGCTTAAGGCATGCAAAAAATATTTTTTCCATTGAAAATACTGGTGAAAGATTAAGGTTTAATATACATAATATATTTTAATGAAATAACGAAGTATCTACCTACATCCTCAAAAAGCAGAAACAAAAATAGTAAACGAACAATATCTGCATTAAAATAAAATTAGGGGTGTGAGTGGTGAAAAAATTGGTGTTTTTACAACTTCGTATGGTTAAGTTACTATTAAATGATAAAGTTTCTATTGAACAAAGATTCGGGATAAGTTGAGATGTGTACTGGAGAACTTGCAGTAGAATGCGTGTATCGAAGTCAGGTTAGGGGCGTGTTTTTTTCGAGGAATGCACTGCCACGATGACGATGGAAATAAATGAGTTGTTCAATTTCAGAGTATCAAGTAATATGCTGACTGATGCTTCCGAGTAAACGGAATGTTGATCATCTATGCCGGAGATATTATATTGCCATACATACCTACATGTGATTTTTTTTAATAGAATTAGAGTGACAAACGAGCACACAGTCCCTGATGGTAAGTGGTTGCTGTGGCCCATAGACTAAGATGGAATGCCTCGTTTCCAGTAAAAAGGGTCTCCGGTTCTCTACACTCATCATACGAAACACAGCAGCATTAAGCTGCTATTTTACGTTGGTATTCTGTGAGAGCGTGGTCCTTCCCCGGTCGAGCCGACCCATTCGTGTTACAACTATATCAGAAATATAGCTGCAGCATGGCTCTACCACGTATGAAACGAATAAAAAAGAGTTTTCAAAGTTATTGTAAGCCCACATGTGCGATGTAACATATAATGTAAATTGGATCTGAAGTAGCCTAGGATGCAGTGTAGGACATTAGATCCATCACAAACCAACACAGACTTGAAAATGAACAATTGTGATTTGGCACAAAGGTTAGTTTCGCCTCAATTCGAACCCACAACCCGCGGATAACAGCCAGGCACTCTAATTACTACGCCAGGTGGTCGCCGCATACAGTGAAAAATCTATAATTTTAAGATTTCGAATGAATCGAACAAAGCCTATATCAACTTTTCTAGGTGATAAACTCCCTTTCTGTAGTGTGTTTTCACTGTTGGGTGACAACGCATCAGTAGAATTTTTGTTTGAAATTGGTTGCAGATGCCCATGAGCTGCAGTAGCCACTTGACATCAGGCGTATTGTTACTTCGTGTGTCAATTCAGTTTAAAAAAAACGTACCTTTTTAATATCAAAGTTGGGTATCTGAGGGAAAATAGGACATCTTCCCATTCCGGTACTAAACACATCTCTGACGATCGTGGAGAGTACCAGCAAGCAGATGCTGGTGGAGCCCGTCACACGGAAGTCGCCCATCGCACTACGGACGCACTGTGGAAAACTAGCGATACCAGCGGAATGTTTTGTAAACAGGACGTCGCGGCAACAACACGAAGCGACGGCGACACTCCACTATCGCACCTTACACTGACCCGTACGAGCGCGCTTAACTCAATTATTCATAATAACCAACTTTAGGTTGTTTTAGACGTGACGACAAGACAATATTTTTTTTAAATTCTCTCTATAATTAAGTAATGTTTTTTTTTTTTGGAGGCGAACGAGCATACGGCTCACCTGATATTAAGTGTTGAGCCGCCCATGAACAACTGCAACACATGGGAATTGTGGAGGTGGGCTGCTGGCTTTTTAAAAAGAAGTAAGTTTATTTTAAGGTTCCTAAGCCGTATCGGTCCGGAACAATCGCCTGTGGTAAACGATTCCATAAGAAAAAATTAGTTTTGTGATCATTAATCGAATTATTTTTCATACAGTGAGAGTAAAAATATACAGGCCAAGTGTAGATTAAAGCAAGATCATAATAAGGCATCTTATGACAAGTGTACTAGAAAGTGTGTGTTAGAAAAGCTTGGCGACGCCCTCCATCGCTCGCTCCGCACGCTCTTTGGATAGACAAAATCAATATCATCATGATCTTTATTGCAAATTATACGTGGTAGAGCAATGATGGAGCTATATTAATAGTACAGTTATAGCACGAATGGGTCGGCTCGCCCGGGGAAGGACCACGCTCTCACAGAACATCAGCGTAAAATAGCAGCTTAATGTTGCTGGGTTTCGTATGGGGAGTGTAGAGAACCGGAGACCCTTTTTACTGGAAAAGAAGCATTCTTTCTTAGTCCTCACGGCTGACAACGCATCTGCACTTTATTTCGCAAACGAAGACAGATGTAGGTGTCTATTGGCCACATCAACCACTTAACATCAGGTGGACTGTGTGCTCGTTTGTCACCCTTATTCTATATAAAAAAAAGAAAAAACCAAATGGTAACAATAGATGTGATGTTTCAAAAACAGTCCGCATTTGGACCCGGTTTGGGCGTAGCAATTATAAAAAATTAAATTACTTTATTGAATATTATTAAATTACATTATCAAAGAGACAATCTGAGGGAGAGGCCTAGAGTCAGCAAAGAACTTTTGATATGCTGCAATGAATAATAATAATGTCCTCTAGACGGTTACGGTCAAGGCTGCCAATCTGTACGGAGACTACTGGACTCCCCAGTGCCAGCTCCTTCCACTTGACCGCATCCAGCGTAGAGCGGTTCGAATTGTCGACGACCGAGTTCTTTCCGATCGGCTTAACTCACTGGCACTGCGTAGAGATGTTGCATCTCTTTGCGTATTTTATTGCATCTATCAAGGGGAGTGCTCTGAGGAATGTGCAGCCGCTAAATTTCACCATCGCACATCGCGACAAAACTCGCGATACCATCCATACCATCTGGATGATTGGCGGTCCACCAATGTACGGTTCAGAAGAAGTTTTCTTCCTCGCACAACTTCCTTGTGGAATCGTTTAGCACCAGCGACTTTTCCGGACCTATACGACTTAGGGACCTTCAAGAAAAGAGCCTACTCCTTTTTAAAAGGCCGGCAACGCACGTGCGATTTCCCTGGTGTTGCAGTTGTTCATGGGCGGCGGTAGTCACCATTAGGTGAGCCGCATGCTCGTTTGCCCCCTCTCATATAAAAAAAAGACTAGCCATCTGCATATCGCATCTCACAGTACCTATAATAGTGCACGAATGTGTACGCAAGTACAGGTGCACTCTTTATTCCTTCACTCCCATAATCCGAAGGGACGGTAATCCTATATAAAACCGGTCCTGACTGATTGTGCTCTAGTGGTCGTAAACGCGACTGATGATCTTAACCGATTCGTTGCGACACAAATTTTCGACAACTTTTAGCTGTGGCGGTGAACAAATATTTCGTGACAAGCCTGTCGTGTCAAGCGTCATAGAAGTTAATGACACGCCTATTGTGCCATCAGCCACGTGTAAAATTAATGTTCTTTTTAATGCTTTTTTCACTTGTTTAGACCTGATTAAGTTTAGTTGACATCAAACATCCGTTGCAAACGGAAGGATATTTGTTTTTACCGGCTAACTACGTGTTTTTCTGTGTTTTCTTTGAAATAGAGACTAAGTGACTTTTTTTATACATACCTTTGGTACTATTTTTTGTTTTATAACTAAAAACATTTATATAAGTACCTAGGTAGCTAAGTACAGCTAAATCACCCTGAAAACCCTTGGTTTTATTAAATTTAATTTTCACCTAATAATAACGTTTGTAAATATCAAACAATCAAAAACCTTAATTTGGAAAAAATAAGGTTTATGTTTCATTCATAACAAGAATGTTATTATATTATTTAATATCAAACAAATGTAGAAGTAAAGTCGATCTGAAAACGTCTAACTAGTAAGAATAGCAAAACAAGTGTTTTCAAAAGCAAAAAAACAATAGCCAGATGCACCAGCGCAGTACGGCGGCGGATGAAGAAAAGACTATTTAATAACGAATTTTTTTATGCATGAACGCGTTCGGACTGTTTCAAGCAATAATAAACCTTACACCATATCACAAGAGCACATGGTACTTCGTAGGTCCATTCGGTCATATTATAGTAATAAGACGGCAGTTCAACCATTTTAAGCAAAATTAATTTTTCAGAAACTTGTTTACAACTTGAGTTTGTGAGCGATCGTAATGAGTGCTATTATTTGTTAATTATTAGAGTATTTTTCCACAACATGATTTAAAAACCCCACACAGTAAAAAGAGTACCATGAACAAGTTAAAAAAGGTTGTCAACCCCTAAAATTTCAAATTCCCAAAATATCCAGAAACGAAGCTCTAGGCATGAACTACTTGCAAAATAATGAATATTTTGTTCTGGATAAATCTTCCAAAAACGCAATTTGAGCGAGTTATAACGATTTTAAGTAATTTAAAATTAAAAATTTTCTACAGCCGATTTCAATATAAGTTATTTAAGAATAACTCAATAACCATTGGTCTGACCTTGATCAAATTCATATGGAACCACACGAGAACTATCAGCTACTATATAAAAAAAGAATCATCGAAATCGATTCACCCAGTACAAAGTTATGAGGTAACACACATAAAAAAAAACATACAGTCGAATTGAGTACCGTCTCCTTTTTGGAAGTCGGCAGAAAATACAAGAATCGCGTGTTATACGCCACATAGAAAAATAATCGATGGCAAGCCTGGCGTGCCATCCGCACTGAATCGATTAATGTCCCGGATTCGAATCCGGTTGTGAGTCGAAGTCGGGTCAAAATCATTTATTGGATACTTCTGACAAGAAGTTCCCGGTAGAAACCTGGAGTCAGGAAGTTCGGAAAGCACGTAAAGCCGTTGGTCCTACGTCTGATCTCTCTGCAGTAGTGACGGGTTATCATCCCATCGGAATATGAGAGTGAGGGAATAGAGTCACCTGTGCATGCGTATACACTCGGGCACTGTAATCCTGTCCTGCGCAGATGGTTAATCTCCATTGAGACTGGCCGCCCTGACCGAAATTCGGTCTGGAGGACGATCGGATAAAGATCAATCGCAAAACCAACGTCTTTACTTGCTTTCCGAGGCACGGGGTGAAACATTACCAACTTTCTGACTTCGGGGTGCTACCGAGTAGTTCTTGATAGAAAAACTCAATAGCTGACTTTTGGACCGACCCAGTATTCGAACCAGGGATCACATTTGTACGTGGTAGAGTCATGCTGCAGCTATATTAGCAGTATAGTTGTAGCACGAATGGGTCGGCTCGACCGGGGAAGGACCACTCTCTCACAGAATACCAGCGTAAAATAGCAGCTTAACGCTTCTGTGTTTCGTATGGTGAGTGTAGAGAACCGGAGACCCTTTTAACTGGAAATGAGGCATTCCATCTTAGTCCTCACGGGTGACAACGCATTCACATTTTGATTTGTAATAGAGGATAGATGTAGATGTCTATGGGCCGCAGCAACCACTTACCATCAGGTGGACTGTGTGCTCGTTTATCACCCTTATCCTAAAAAAAAAACATGATCAGCAGTCGCGCTTACGATCACTAGACGAGGCTGTCACGCCTATCTAATTATTTATACAACATAAAGAACTGTAAACTATTATTTAAAAAAAAAAAAGAACTGCTGGGTTTTTGCTGGTCTCTTGCAACTCCCACGGCACGAAATGTTTTGTTTGTATTCATGTGGGTAGTTCGTAAAAAACTACAATGTAAGTTGTACCCCGTGTAGTGGCGGGAAAGAATACTCACTACCCCATATCTTCCCGTGGGTGTCGTAAGAGGTGACTGAGGGAAACTATGGCAGAGGATGGGCAGCAGAATCTTTCTGATAATAGAAAAACAACAATAAAAAAACTGCGGTTGCCAAACCGCTCGCCAAGCGTGGCAACTATGGCAATATACCCCCCATGAGAGTAACGGGGAGGCCTATGTTCAGCAGTGGACTTATGAAGGGCTGTAATGATGATGATGATGATGATGATGAAGTTGTATAGTCCCTGAAGTATGTAATAATTGCTTTTTTGGACTAAACCTAACACTGGTCCTTCGAGCCAGGTCAATGTTGCTATTTTTACGTATGAGCTTACATATAAGGAGCTATAACTAAACAAATGTACGTTTTTACTATTGTGTTTTCTTTCCAACTTCGAACTTGCGTATTAATACTTACATTTTATATTTCACATACAAGTTTTCGCTGCATAAAAATCGTCACGTAGTCGTTAAGGAGGTGTAACCTGTAAACGGTTTCTACCGGTCTTGTATATAAATCTACATAAAATTGCTTAAAATAAACGTGAATCCGTGTGACAGTGCACAAGTCATCACAATGTCGCTGCTCGTTACAGGTTTTATATTATGAAGAGAGTGTTCAATATTCATGAAGCATATACATAAGGTGACACTTAAAATTAAAAATAACACTTTTGTAACAGTAATAACGTTTAATTACTATCGAAAA